CAAAATGGTAGCTTTTGTATCATACACGAAAGAAAATCTGGCCGGCCTCAATTCAATCCGATAAATCCGATTGACAGAGTGTGCTGCCTGTTTCATGTATAAAAATCATATCCAAATTCCTTCGCCGATACGACTAGTCCAACTAGACAGAGAGACATGAAAACCCCCAAACAACGCAGTGCGAAATATTTCAATGTATGCCAGTCATGATTAACCCTCGTTCTATCATGAAAACAGCCTCTGTGTTCTAACTTTACTAAACCGTCTAAAAATCTACATCTAAATCGAAAATTTAGAATCTGTCATCCACAAGTTCCCAATACTGACCTGACTTCATTCATTCTTCTCTACTCGCCTCTAAATGATTAAATTAGATCTTGATGCAATAGATACAAAAAATAATTAAAAGGAATGTCAGTCAAATTTAAAGAACAAAAACTACAATAATAACAACAGCGACAACTATAACAACAAAAATAACAACAACAACAAAAACAACAACGACAACAATAACAACGACAACAAAGACAACAACAACAACAACAACAACTAGAGTGGCACCAACAGCCACCACATCATCACTAACAAAATAAAACACGACAAAGAGAATACTACTACTACTACACTTGTATTATCGTATCTCATCAACAGACCCGCCCCCTGCTGCCCCCGTCCTGACACAAGAAGGGCAAACTTTCTCTGGAGACAGCGCCGACAATGTCGTTCATCTAATCGCGGGACAGACATATTCAGTCCGCTGTGACGTCACTGGTGGCAACCCCCCTGTTTCTAGCGTTACACTGACCTGTCCAGGCAACAACCCTACAACTCAGGAAGGGTCCCAGGTTTCGATTGACTTCCCAGTGACCAGTGACACACATGACCAAATGTGCGAGTGTGAGGCTGACCACAGCTTGGGAGACTATGACAAAGAAAAAACCTCTGTTGTCATAAAAGCTGCTTGTAAGTGTGTTCTTTGCTGATAAGCTGTTCAAATGTTCCAAGCCATGAAAATGAAATTCTTAGTCGAGAGAAAAAAACAACAACCTGTCATTAGTTCAATAATTTGTAAAAGACATGGTGTCCCTCCTTGCCTTACCTTTTTAAACATTTAGAATTTGAATTTCGACAAAACATTTTTCGAGCTCATGCAACCGATACTACAGATTGAGAAAATTATTTAATATTATGTGCAGAGCACATCTGTACAGCCGGCGACATATTGTTTTTTTATTATTGGAGGG